TTCGAAATACTACACGTCTGCCATTCAAAATCAAACATGTCTGCCATTCAAAATCAGACATGTCTGCCATTCAAAATCAAACATGTCTGCCATTCAAGATCAAACATGTCTGCCATTCAAAATCAAACATGTCTGCCATTCTAAAGCAAACACGTCTGCCATTCAAAATCAAACATATCTGCCATTCAAAATGAAGCATGTCTGCCATTCAAAATCAAACATATCTGTCATTCGAAATAATACACGTCTGTCATTCAAAATCAAACATATCTGCCATTCAAAATGAAGCATGTCTGGCATTCAAAATCAAACATATCTGCCATTCAAAATAATACACGTCTGCCATTCAAAATCAAACATGTACGTCTGCCATTCAAAATCAAACATGTCTGCCATTCAGTCCATAAACCGAATCAAATGAAACTTTATATACCGGTACATGTTATAAATCATGTCAAGTTCTGATTCAAAATGGCTGACTGATTTTGGTTTTGTTTAACATTGCATGATTGGTACTATTTTATGTTACTGACTTGTATTTATTTTGCAGCCTACTTATCATGGCATATTGAGTGTGTGGTACAATATTTTGTACCTGATCGTCACAAGGATGCTATGTTTGATATCAAAGATGCTAGTTTATATTACCCAGCTAGGAGCACCCTTCCACTTACCATGTTGGTACAGGCAGTTGCTGTCACCTCCTTTGTTGTGGTAAAGCCATTTTATTATCATTTGTCATCAAATATACATGTATATATATATATAATAATAATAACTTTATTACACATACTACTATACCATCAAAGGGTGCAGTATGGTAATATAAAATACAAATCGTATTTAGTTTATTTTTAATTCCTATTTCTTGAAACAGCTCCCCTCTTTCTTTATCAAGAAATTCACAATCTAGGATAAAATGTTGTTCGTAATAGCTAACTCTATTGCAACTAACATTAGCTCACCTCCAGTATTCATTTTTATAAATCAAAATTGTTAAAATCCTAATATTAGCCAGTTAAAAAAATGGTATTGTGACAACCTTGTTAGTTTTAATTAGTGGTAATATTAAAATAGTTATTTCTATTTATCTAACCAGCAAGAATCTTATTATGTATATGTGGACGGTTACAACAGCATTATGAGGATAGATGATATTCAGCTCTTTAGCCAATCACTATCTGATATTTAAATTTGAATGAAACTGATGATTGGTATTTATTTTTATAAATACATTAAGCTTCTGAAGTCAAATTACAATTAAAGCATCAAAGCTGCATTGTACTTTTAGGTTCAAAATTGTCAATAGTAAACCATATGAACGTATTGATAATTTGTTTATTCTCATTTCCAGCTGGCTTTGGGTGAGCTTACATGTGTCTTGTGTGGTAAATACTCATTGAAACATGGTTTGTTCAACTTCTACTATCTTTATGGTGCTTTTCTTTTCGGATGGTGCTTCCATCGCATCTTCGTCATGGTAACCAAAGGAATGCTGGTCTCACCACGCCCATCTTTCCTGGAATCCTGTCAACCGGATATGTCAAAAATTTCCTCGCAAGACCTTCTGGTGTCCTTTGACAAATGTTCAAATCAGAAGTCACTGAAAGATGCTAGGTATCAAAGATGTTTGATATTATTTCACTTTCGCAACGTACGCACTGTACCCACTTGTTCAAGTATAGGCATATTACCGTACTGTAACGCCATTTTGGAGATACATTATTTATGTCAGAAATATTTTTTTATATTTTATTTTCTTCTCTCGTGTATTGTGTATAACTCTATTAATCAAGTATGCAAAACCTTACAAAATCTCAGTATATTCAAGAAATGTTATAACCTATATTTCAGATATACTTGAGTAAGGTTGTTTCCACATCTCAAACTCACAAATATGGGTATTAAAATGTAGATAACATTTTAAAAAGGTTGCTGACCTATTACTTTCATTTGTAGGAAATGTTGTCGTCATTACCCCGAGTTTCAAAAAAAATGTCAATGTTATACTTATATCTTGTTTTACTTATTACAAAAACTAAATCGGATACCAATATTTTTTAATATTGATAATAATTTATAATAGAATAATTTTAACATGTGAGGTCATGCCAAATGATTTAACATGTGAGGTCATACCAAATGATTTAACATGTGAGGTCATGCCAAATGATTTAACATGTGAGATCATACCAAATGATTTAACATGTGAGGTCATGCCAAATGATTTAACATGTGAGATCATGCCAAATGATTAAACATGTGAGGTCATGCCAAATGATTTAACATGTGAGGTCATGCCATATGATTTAACATGTGAGGTCATGCCAAATGATTTAACATGTGAGGTCATGCCAAATGATTTAACATGTGAGGTCATGCCAAATGATTTAACATGTGAGGTCATGCCAAATGATTTAACATGTGAGGTCATGCCAAATGATTAAACATGTGAGGTCATGCCAAATGATTAAACATGTGAGGTCATGCCAAATGATTAAACATGTGAGGTCATGCCAAATGATTAAACATGTGAGGTCATGCCAAATGATTAAACATGTGAGGTCATGCCAAATGATTAAACATGTGAGGTCATGCCAAATGATTAAACATGTGAGGTCATGCCAAATGATTTAACATGTGAGGTCATGCCAAATGATTTACATGTGAGGTCATGCCAAATGATTTTAACATGCGAGGTCATGCCAAATGATTTTAACATGCGAGGTCATACCAAATGATTTAACATGGGAGGTCATGCCAAATGATTGAACATGTGAGGTCATGCCATATGATTTAACATGTGGTCATGCCAAACGATTTAACATGTGAGGTCATGCCAAATGATTTAACATGTGAGGTCATGCCAAATGATTAAACATGTGAGGTCGTACCAAATGATTTAACATGTGAGGTCATGCCAAATGATTTTAACATGTGAGGTCATACCAAATGATTTTAACATGTGAGGTCATACCAAATGATTTAACATATTCCTGATAATTGCAGGAAAATAGCTAGAATATGAATATTTGGCTGATTAAAAATCCATTTTGCAGCTGTCTAACTGTCTTGTTTGCATATGCCTGTCATTAATGTTATAACATTCCCATGCGTGTTCATATAGTATCACAAAAGTTATTTGGTTGAATATTACATGGATTAAAATATTTGAAGAAAAAAACCCACACAGGGGTCAAAAATTAACTTGAAGTCAATAGATATCGCACAATGTGAATCAAATACCATCAAATAATATTGCAGCTAAAACAATAGGAAACCGCAGATATCATAGTTACATTACTTATGTTTAATGTTATTTACAGCGGCGCTTTCCCTTCAGGTCATTCAGCACTGATTTATTATGAGTGCTGCTTCTTAATGGTAGGTTTGCCTGTTTTTTATTGTTTTTATTATTAAAAATCTCAAAATGGTGATGTTAATTCCACTACATCTGGTCATTTATAAGTCATGTTTGTCTGGATTGCTGACCAATCAGACACTTTTGTAAAGTGTGCTGTAATTGGTTGATACTGGTTTGCATTTGTTGGATTTACATCAGATAATGTATATAAAAAGTGGTCTTTGTCAACCTATAAATAATTCATCAACACTCTACAGTAAGCAAGATTTGTTACAAATATAGTGAGATTTAGTAATTAATTAATTTCAGTTATTGGTTAAAGTGACCTCTATGGCGGAGAACAGACGTTTTTACATTTATTCATCTTCCAGATGAGTAGAATTAACCCCCCCCCCCTCCCAACAATAAACCTCTACCAGAATATTGCCAAATACCGGTAATTGTCCATAGATAACCAATAACCCCATCAACATGCAATGTATTAAGCTTAAGATTATAATTGTTGTTCATTTACCGATATTAACAAATTCAAAAGATATGTATATTGTGTACGTATTGTTTTTTTATTTTATTTTCTCAGTTTTACATTGACAACAAGTTACCAGAAAACACTCCTAAACTGTTGAAAGGTCTTCTGCAAGCAGTTTTGTTCCTGGTACCATTTTTTGTCTCTTTGACAAGAATAGTTGACAATAGACATTGGTGGAGTGATGTCATAGCTGGAATTCTCCTAGGAGTTATACTAGCTATATGGGTGGTAAGTTCAGAAAGTGTTTTTGATAACTTTTAAAGTAATTAAAGTTGTTCATCATTGTATTCAAATAAGTTATAGTGTTAAAACAATTTTAGTTAAATAAGGAGTCAGCTTATGGCTAGTCTAGTCTAGTCTGGTCCATTATGTAACTTAGAATCCAAGGCACCACAGTTACTTGTATCGTGAATGAGTTTTTAGGTTTTTGCATTTAATGCTGAAAATATACACATATTTGCACTACCGGTAGTTACAGTATTTGTTCTATTAGAGGAATTGCCTTTAAACCATCAACTGTGTGTAGTGTATATATCCTTGAAGTCGTTTGACTCTGGACACCTCTATATATGCTACTAAAAGACACCTACCAGTATATAGCAAATATAAACAATTGATTTTTCAAATCTACAAAGAAAGATGGACAATAATATATATATATCAATTGAAATATGAAAATTGGGTGCTTGATATTTGCAATGTAGTTTAACATACTGCAAAATGTTGAATTTTCACGGCTTTTGCAAATTACTAATATTGAAAATCTTATGAAATATTGTCTCATATGAAGTGAAATGGATTTACAGTATAACCAAAGTGTGTATTTTTTTTTCTCATTTCAGGCAAATATATGCGGTCTTTTTAGAAAACATACAGGGAAGCCACCTAAGAAAATTAAGGCCAAGAAAGAATAAGTGTTATCAAAATTTGAATCAAAAAGTTACTAGTTTACATTCCATAATTTGATTAGTGATTTAATTATTGTTTAAAAAAGTTTGCACTAAATTAAAATGATGGCGCTACTGAACATATCAATACATGTGCAATGCATTGTGGGAGAGAAGAACCTATTGAAAATAATATAAGCTCCATGATCTTGTATATAATGACGTCAGAGGAGTGTTAATATCTAAGAATGTCATTTTCTAACAACTCACTACAATTGGCATTATCAAATTCTATGTCAACTAAAAATTTGAGATGTGAACAAAATATTTTACCATAGAAACCAAAATTTTGTCATGAAATATAGTTCAAGGACCACAATTTTTTTTTAAGGGCTAACACAATTAACCCATACAATGAAAGCTAGAAAACTATTACAAATGACTTTAAATTTGACTAAAATCTGAAAATGGTCACAAGATTTACCTCTTAGATTTACCTGTGAACCACAAACGTAAAACTTGATGAGAAATAAAAAGGGTTGAATTATTGCTATTTAACTTAGAAAATTATCTTTCAGAGGTTTGTTTTAAAGGTTGTAAACTGAAATATCTGTTGTCTTCAAATAATGTAAATTGTCTAGAATACCATACAGAGATGTTCTTCACATCTGTTCAAATTGTTTATTTTTTAATACTCGTAATTGAAATAAATTTAATTTTCCAACTTGAGGCTTTGGTATCACTTATCATATGTATGATAATGTATACATATTTTGCAAGTTTATTGTTGTAAGCCCCATACACTTGTTGATCTTTAGTTAAAAAAATCATTGTTAATGATTTTGTGGTTTTGCACAAAATGAACATTTAATTTTGATTTTTTGATCATGTACATCGAATACAAACTTGGAAACTGACATAGAAGTATATTATGATGTATATGAAAAATGTGTACAGAAATCAAGATTGAAAACTAATTGTCATGACCATGTATCCTAACATGTATAATTTGAAGAGAAAAAAAACATGTCAACAATACATTTTGAAATTTGAACACAAAATGAATAATCATGGTCATGTATCTCAACATGTATAATGTTTTTATAAAATTTGAACGAAAACCAACAAATCCTGTCAGAGATACATTTTCCAAAAAAACAAGATGGATGCCAGTTGGCCATCTTTGATCTGATTAGGAACAAACTGACATAAACTCGTATTCCTATGTATGAGCCAAATATTTATGAAAACTGTCCAAAAGCCTTTGAGAATGAAAATGACAAACCATGTCCATGATGCATTTTTCAAAACACAAGATAGCTGCCAGTCTGCCTACTTTGATCCAATCGTGAAACGAATCGTCAGACCTGTATCCAAAGATGTACCGGTACCAAATTTAAACAAAAACTGACAAAGCATGCATAAGATAACACATTTTCAAAAAACAAAAAGGCTGCCAGTCAGCCATCCATCTAGGATTGAATCAGAAAACCAGATAAAGTACTAAGCTGACATATACAAAATTAACAGATTTGGTGCACTGAGTTCTTAACTGTGACTCAAATTAAAAAAAAGTCCCTGTCTGAACGGGGACTAATTAATGTTGATATGCAATCTATAATGTATTTATCATAAGCATGGTCTATTGTCAGTTTAGAGGAATGAACTCAAGTTGAAATAATGCATGACTGAACCAAGAGAGGTATAAACCAATCATATTTATTCTTACAAATTTGATTCATTAGGAGAATGTAAAGCACAAACAAATGTGAGCAAAAAAATACAGTCATCATTTCCAAGAATAAAACTTAGATTTTAAAATTCAATGAAAAGAAAGGCATACAGACAATAAAGTTTACCTTACAACCAGACCACAAGACATGTGGGTTCTTAAATTTTATAACAGTCAGACCTGTGTACAGTGACCTCCCTCTAGTCCTTATATGGAGTTTTGGTAATCCATTCATAACACTACATGCGACTGTCAATTTACATGTAAACTGTGAAACCCAGGTTTGATTGTAAGCATTCATACTGTAAGAACACCTGATTTAAAACTCCCTATAGTCCACTAATTAAGATTACATGCCGATTACAGATCCTCTGCGCATCATGACATCTAGGTGCCTAGACATTGTCAGCGCAGTCAAGTCTGTAATTCAGCACAACAGTTTAAGTTAGACATCATACAAAACTACAATTAGTAAATTACAATAATTATTTCAACATAAAATCAATCATATTTATGTTACCATTGTTACATACTGTCTGAATGACGTTAAAATATAGGCATAAAAGATTTGACATGAAAATATCACTTTCATAACACATGAATGTGTTTCAACATGTAATAAATACCAGTAACATAATCAAGTTTGTTTTAAAACAAAATGTTACAGCATATACACCTTTAAAGTTTTTAGCAAGTGGTAGTTGGACTTTCATCTTTATTGAATTATTGTTCCTTATTTTATTTATTTAGTTCAAAAGTAAAAGCTTGGTCCTAAAATTATGAAATTAATTTAAATGTCCAGCAATGAAGTACTTTACACAGGCACATAAATAGTGAAATATGATTTGATTGTTGTATTTGTTTTACAAAAAGTTTGTCAGTGAAATCAATGGTACTACATTAAAATCATTGCATGATGTAAGTATACATGTAGTCATTAGTACTACATTAAAAGCTTTGCACTCTTCAATGATGTCGCTCTTACTTCCTCTTCCTGTATCTAATAATAGGTTTATCTGGTGTATGGATAAGAGTAGTAGTATTAACTGGAGGAAAGAAACCATCAACCAACTCAAATTCATACTTCCTGAGCAGCACTGACCATATTGTTTTGATTTGGACGTACGCAAAGTTTTCACCGATACATCGGTGACGGCCTGTGAAGAGACAATAAGTAAAATGAGATGTGATGTCGTGTTAAAAATTGATTTTTCGGCTACATGAAATTAAAGATGCATATGAATATATAGGATATAGAGGAACACATTTTTTGACTCCAACAAAATTGATTTTGAAATCACTGATAATATTCAGTACATGATTTGAAATCGTAACAATAATGTAAAGTTTCTACTAGTGTTATGAATATATTACAATACATATAAGTTTTAACACATGTTAGTGATGACTTGTGCTTTGAATTTGTCGCATATACTTCTATTGTTTACTGTCACCTTACAAGCAATGATAGGAGTGGTCCATTCACCTTTGAATTAAATTTACATTTCACTATATAGATCTTGACAAGTTGATTACCTTATGTGTAAATAAGCTCTTATAAAATTAAAATCATTTTCTATTTTGTATATAATGTACAACTTACCGGCACCGAATGGTATGTATGTAAATTTCTCAGAGTTGGCAGCGGACTCATCTAAAAACCTGCAAATAGTCAATTTCCACAAAGTCACAAATAATCACATGTACCCACATATAATGCATACCACAGCGTGTACACATGCTTCAGATTTGACATGCATATACTGCTAATATTGGGAGACATTAAAACATAAGTTTTCTTTATTTCAATTCTGATGTTAATGATCTTGAATCAATTTATGTGTGTGGCTGATTAATAGAAAGAGGTTTCATGCCTGAATTGAAAGTATAAATAACATTGGCAGATGTCAAATATTGAATTGAAAAACCTACCTATCTGGTTTAAACTCTCTAGAGGCTTCTCCCCATTTATCCTGTATTCGTTGATTGACAGGAGGTGATACACACACTTGATGACCAGGTGGTATGGTATATCCCTTGAAAGTCTGCAGTGACAAAATAGTCATAGTCAGTGACCTTTCACACTAAACTGTCAAATCTGAGATACCTTTTCAAAAAGACAATGAGAATATCAACTAACCTGGGGGATTCTACACATTCTCATCATGGTCATGATAGGGGGTCTGAGGCGAAGAGTCTCCTTAAGACAACGGTCTAAATTGTCCATTTTCTTCAACTGTGAATATATATGTATAAAAAAGACACTGATAAAACTAGTACATAATAATGTATTATTATCTATTAATAATGTCGGGGGAGAGTTGCACAACCTGATTGCTTGAAATAATCATCTCATTTGCATAAATTAATATTCATGAGCAATGAAAACTCTTTTTCAGTAAAATTGTACCAAAACGCTTTCTGATAGTCTACATGATTGATTGATTAGAGTGGAGCAAACTGTTGAAACTAGCTACAGGTTTATTCTTTAACGTGATCATAGCAAGTGACGAAATTCATGGAGAATACAGAAGTAAATTGATTTTTCACTAGTATTATTGCTCAAAATGTTTTCAATAAGTTTTACCAGTGACAAGTTACCTAAATAGTATGCATTTCGAGAAATCACTTTGTGTGTGTGTACATAAAATCTCGCATAGAATTTACTCCAGCAAGAAACTAGTAGCACCAAGCTGGTTGTTACTCGAGTTGTTTTCGCAATAGACACAATTTTAGGACCTGTATATTTCTATGTAATGTGTTTACATTTTTCATTGAGGCTTATTGTGTAAAAAAATCGCTGTAAATATTTAACGTTGTTGCTTCGATGATGGCCTATGGATGACTGACTTTGAAACGTTCCATCCAGATCGCACCCCGCTCTCTTGTGCCAATCCCCTCTAAATAATGTGGATATGTGCCAAATACTGTTACATTGCATTCATGTGTAAAATCAACTTTACATAGTAGTTAATATGCCTCATCTTTAGAGATGTGTCATTATTGACTATTGATCAAGAGATTGATTCAATTGTATACATTGCAAAAAAGTATTTCTGGAAAATAAAATGATGAAAGTACTGATCATAATCTACTAAATGACGTAATTGTGGAAACCTTTCAAAATTGTTCAATCACATCTCCATACATATTTGTGTATTATAAAACAACATTGAGTTTCATTCAATTGTGTTATTTGGTTGCACTGTAATATCATTTTTATTTCAAGACTACTGTAAAATACTTTATTTTCGCTTGGAATAAATTTTTGCTGAAGGAATGATTCAGTGAAAATAAAATCCAGTGAATATACCTTTTTTCCTATATTTTATGTTCAACTTGTTAAAAATCAGTGAAAATGAGTTCCATACGAAACACTCAAAAAGTCTTTTTAGCAAAAATTAATTCCAAAAATTAATTCCAAATAAAGTATTTTACAGTATTTACCTGATCATATTCTACAGGAGGAAGATCTTCTCCACAGACTTCTTTTTGTTCAGCATAACACTGATCCTGAAAATGAATGAATGAACCAAAGAATGGGAATTGTTTTCTTGTAGAATAAAATAAACTATATTCCAGCTAAGTTTAAGAAAACACTAAAAAATAATTTACTGGCTGTTTTGGTCTTTAATTATAAAGATATCTTTTCAAGAAATGAACATCTGCTTTTAATGAGTATTTGTTATTAAAAAAAAAAAATTTAATCCTAAGCTAAATTCTTACCTGAATATCTTTATATTTAGCCAAAAAGAATCCCAACCATGCGCTTGTAGTAGAAGATGTATGTTGACCTGCCATGAGTAATCCTATCAACATACCTGCTATCTCGTCATCACTTAAATATTTACCAGTTCTTTTGTAAAATACAATAATTACAGTTTTAATAATAATAATAATAATCAACATCTTATAAAGGCAATTCAATGTCACAATTATTTTGTTGATATACTGTACATACACAATAAAAACATTTAGAATCAGAAATGTTTAATTAAATTAATTAAACGCAAGAGGGATTTCAAATCAGAGATATAACCTGTCAATAAGAACTGCTGGTTTTCATCTTAGTGGTATTGTGGATGAACAGAAACATTTGATGTAAATGAACTTACTTGTAAGTACTGTCAAGAAGTGTCTGCAACATGTCATCTTCTGTATCGCCAGCTCGGCGCTTGGCAATGGCCTGGAAAAATATAAACACGTAGATGAGTATCAATATTTATTTATAATACTTCTATATTAGTTAAATAGTTTGTTAAAGTGTTTATAGTGCCCCCAGTGGTGAAAAGTTCTTTCTCACCACTAGAGGGCACTGTAAACACTTTTTCACTGCCAGCGTTTCAATATGTGATGCTTGGCTGTTATAATGAATAAGCTACGTTGTCATGACTACATGACATTGTTTTATTTATCATCATTTTATTCAGAAATAAAATCTAATCTCTGGCTGGGGGAAAAGATTAAATGAAATATTTAAATTTATCTTACATTTTATTTTGGATCATTCTGGATCAGTAAAACATCAAATTCACAAAAATTGTTGTGTTAAAATAACGATGGTTTCATATATTTACAGCATATTCTCACTTGATATATAACTGTACTGTAACTATTTTCTCTAAACTTAATTGCATAGACAGATGAATAACACCATTAGACAAGTCATTGTCAATGACACGTCCCCGTTCCGTTCATATTTGAGTGACATATACATTCAAAGCAGATCATGACCGAAATGCACCTGCATATGTACAACACATTGTACTAAATCTGAACAAAATCCATGCATGCATGACTGAGATCCGGTTCTGGAATTGTGAAAATACGCGATTTTAATGCATTTTCGGCCTTAAAATGGCCATCATTCAGCTATTGCTAAGCGGATCATGAAACAAATGCACATATCTATTTGTGACATGATGCACCATGTGTGTGTGAAGTTTGAACTTGATCAATCCAGACATGTCTTGGATACGGATCCAGAACTGAATTCTTTAAGAAAATGGCCGCCAGTCGGCCATTTCGAACTTGATCCGAAAAAAAAAATGACGTGCATCAAGGTCCTATTATGTTTAATGTAAGTACCGAATTTGAACAAAATCCGTCCATGCATAACTGAGATCCGGGTTCGGAATGGTGAAAATGTGCGATTTCAATGCATTTTCGGCCTTAAAGCGGCCGCCATTTGGCTATCGTTAATGGGATCATGAAACAAATGCACATACATATTTGTGACATGATGTACCTTGTGTGTGTGAAGTTTGAACTTGATCAATCCAGACATGTCTCGGATACGGATCCAGAACTGAATTCTTTAAAACAAAATGGCCGCCAGTCGGCCATTTCGAACTTGATCTGAAAAAAAAAATGACGTGCATCAAGGTCCTATTATGTTTAATGTAT